GTTAGCATACTGGTTTAATTTAATACCACCCGAGTTGCAAATGATTTGGCTTTTGCAGTGGAACACACTCATTCACCATGATGATAAATATGAATTTATGAATGATAAAATAAGATATTTAAAAGGAAAAGTTTGCCCCAGAAAAAGCAATACCATATTGCTAATTATGAGACAACACTTCTGGTATATCTCAGACTTATTGAGATCAAGACTGAGGCAAAACATGTATGTACACCATAAGCCCTTTAGCCCTCATTTCCACATACAAGTAGTAGTTTGTGTTGGCACTGTGCTGAACAGATGTCCAGAGCAATGGGAACTCAGCAAATATAAAAATGTGGCACCTATGGAGTACCTAAAATTACCTAGGTACTTATAGTAGTGTCCCTAAAGTTTAGTTCTGTGAGTAGTGTTCAGGAGTTTTGCCCAGCTTTTTGCAAATGAGGAGACATTTGCCTTGAGTTTGTCACGTTGTCAAATACCTGGAGCCCTACATGTGATTTCCTGTGCTAAACATCTCAAATTGCAAGTGACACAAATGCTGCCTAGTATAGTGAAGAAGTTTAATGCCTACTATTCAGAGATTTTTTTCCCCCCTCTCTCATCTTGTAGGAAGGTTTTAGAAAGTGCAACACTCCTTACACCTGCAGCATCAAGTCCAAGGCTTTTCAGAATTGGCTATGAAGCCCTAGACTGTACATCTGATATTTCTTCTGGGTTTGTTCTTTTGGAAATAAAGAGAAGCTTAGAAACTGGATGCAAAGGGCCTGCCCAAGCCCGTGGCAGTACGAAACAGGTAATCTGACAAGGCAGCATTTCAAGCATCACAGTGGAGAATCACTTCCAAATAGTGACACAGCCAAGAATGAACACTTAGAATTTGGGAAAGAGAGTTTGTTCACTTATTTGTGTCCAGCTGAGAACCTCAAGATCAGGAGTTTTCCTGCTATGCTGCTTTCTTGGACATGTCCCTGGCTGACACTGAGCAGAGGAGCAGGCTTGCGCCTGAGTCTGGTGCTACAGGGATGATGGGGACAGGGGTAAGAGAGGGCAGCATGCTCCAGAAAAGGGGTAGATTTAACTTCTTACATAATACAAAGGGAAATAATCCGAGTCAAAATCTGGTGTCTCAGGCCAAAATACAGCATATTTTAGATGAAGGTAATAAAATAGCACTATGAACATGTAAAAATGAGAGAAATTATATTATAGTCTTTGTTTGCCACATCTGAATGACTAATAGATTGGGTTAGTAATGAATTTTTGATTTCTGAAGAAACATTAAAATTAAATGGACTACTGGTTTATTAATTTCTGGAAGAGCAATTCTTCCTTTTATGCAGTGTAACAAAAAATCAAGTCACTGTGGAGACAGAGAAACACAAACAATCATCAAGGTTCAAAGTGACAGTGTAAAAGGCGTTTCACCTTTAGGCCACTGGTTGATTTTTAAAAGAGGAATTGAAATATACCTTTGGGGAGTTGTTTGATGTCCTGGGTCAGCCTGATCTCACATACAGCTTAGTTCCTAACAGACAAGTGTTCCCATCATAAGCACTGCATCAACAGATAACCACACTGACAAGCAGAAAGGAGCATCCTTGAACCAGTTTTCCTGGAAATAATGTATCACAACAGCCATTCCTCTGCAAAAATACAAAAGCACCTGTTTTCCTCTCCCCAGACAACTAAAGCTGAACTAAATGTTTACTGGATTCCATAATTCAAATAAAAACACTTCATCCCCCCTTCTCAGACTCTTGCAGGGAAGGCTGATCCAGACCCAGGGCTGTTACCTTAGGAACTGCTCTAAATCACATTCCAAGCATTTTGGTCATCATCAAGTACGTGTGATAATCAGATACTTCACTTTTTCAACAAGAATATCCTAGCACCGGTTTAGCAGGGTGTGCTTAATCATTTTTTAACCCTTTCAGACACCAAGGAAACTAGTTGTGAAAAAGTATGTAAACAGCCAACCAACATATCTTCCCACCTATATCTGCAAATTCTAGCCAAACTTAATTTGGGTTTAGTGTTGCAAAGGAACAGCTTTATGTGCCACTATCTAGATACATCCCTAATAAAAAAAATGGAATTGAACACTTTATAAGAAAGATGAGGAAGATAAGTGTGTAATTATTAAATGAGCAGCCTTAGAATCAATAGTCATCTCAAACTGTAAAACAACATAATAAAATACAACACCACAAACCCCCCTTTTCTCTGATTTATGCTTCATGAAAAAGCAAAACAAATGTTACACAAATATTTTCAGTAGCTGAAAACTGGCTATCAGTACAAAACCACAACTACAGACATTCCTCACTGCTGGGCTGAACTGTTCTCAAAACAATCCAATGTAAAGGCCACTGACAAATATTTCTAACATTCTGCAGCCACCAAGAACCAGGGTGCTGTGTTTGGTGCAGATCACATTGCTTGTGCTTTAGAGGTATTATTTAGGCTTCAGTCTATGGTTTACTAAGGACTGAACTCATGGCCTGTCTCATCCTAAAATCTCAGAATAATCACTGCTGTTTAGTAGCATTTCATTGCATGTCCATCAAAAATAAATATACTCAAAATAGCAGAGATTAAGAAGTTACAGTCTCTTTGCCTATCTCAGCTATGAACAGTTCTGAAAAACACAGAAACTGCCCTCTGTGGATCTTTCAGACCAAAAGATTAGGAGGAGAAGAATATTAATAGCATCTAATAAGGTGAATCCTGGAAATTATTTCACACTAAAAAGGGGAAAACTCAAGCGAGATTATATCAGAAACCATTCTTATGGTTCAAGAAGTACACCATATTTTCTGTCCCTGTTGCAGAAACAAAGCCACCAAGTATATTTTCAAGAAAATATTTAAATAAAATTGATGAAGTGTCAACACTTGACTGCTTGTTTAAATTGAACATAATTATAAAAGCTGTTACAGAGTGTTCAATTTGTTTCAATGTTATTATATATCATAAAGGCTCATTCAAGCAGGGAGAATACTGCAGACAAGGCATGAAGATTAGAAGATGTCTTAGACTTCTCCCTGGAACAGCATGAAATACAATCTAAAGCAGCCAAAATTCTTTTAGTGGAGCTAATTTCTTTTCACTGGGGCTTTATGAAGAAAAGAATCAGTGTTCCTTTATGCCGCAGGAACACTTTGCTATTTGATTAACAGGAAGTTAAATGAACCAAAGTTACAGAAAGAAAAAAAAATCCACCATCAATTAATGTGACAAATTCTTAATAGGAAAACAAATCAGATTTACTTAAAAACTGAGGTCTTGGTTGTGGTGTATTTGTGTTTTCCCAAGGTTGAGTTTATATTCCCAAGGTTTATATTTTTCATAGTTAATGCTTTCTGAGGAGTACAGATGTCCATGGGACAGGGCTTTTTCCTGCATTGTTCCTGCTGAGTAGCCCAAAGATCAAGAGGACCATGGCAAGCTGTAGCTGCTTATGCTCCAGGTGCACCACAGCTGATGAGAAGTGGTGTGCAAGAGCTCAATGCCTGCTGCCAGCACAAGCACCACTCACATTATCAACTGAAAATAAGGCATTTGAATGTTAAATTTTTCTCTCTTCTTTCATGATCTGTCACATTCAGATGGGAAGCACAAGGCAAGTCCCCAAGGACCCCCTAGAAAACTGCCAGCACCTTACCTAGGAAATAATTCTGATACCCTTGCATTTTCTAAACATAGGGTGAGTGGTGAATTCTTATATTCCACCTACAATACAGATACGTTGGTCTGAAATTCTGGACCAGATGTCTTTTCACAGGCACTTCCAGGCTGTGGAGGATGATGCATGGCCACAGCCTCTCTGCAGTGCTTACAGACTCTCAAATCAACTCAGCACACCATTGTCACAGCTGCATGACATGGTACTGAACCGATTCCACTTCACCCAGAGAGCAGGACAGAAGCTGAATTCCTACCTGTTTAATAATATCCATTCATCCATACTTTTTGCCCAGTATAGATACTTTGGTTTCAAAATTAAACATTCATACATTTATCAAGGCAGTCAACTTTATGGTATCTCTGTACACCCTAAGTGGGTGAGAAGCAAGGGGTTCTGACCATAAATACGAATAATATATTACATGATTCACTCTCTTCCACAAGGTAAAAAACAGCAGTTAATTAAATATTAAAAGATTCTAAGCATATAGTAGCAAATAGTAAAACTAGCATGAGAAATGTGCCTGCCTACTTCAGCCATAAAACACAGGAGAAAACCTTAAAATTTAAAACTGATCATAACTTTTTTAATACCACTGTTATGAAACTTTTCTTTCTACCATTATTCAAGTGGAAATTCACTAAGGCTTCACTCAGGCTGTCCTCCAGTTGGGATTCTTGTGCTCTGAAAGCCTCTGTCTTAGCGTGGGGGTCGCCTGCATGGGGGTGCTGCCAGTGGTGGATCTCTCACAGCTTAAAAGTTTCTTTGCCAACAAGCTGCTCCTCACTTGGAGCCAGATATAATCCTCAAAATAAACCCCTAAACTACTTCAAACTTTTCAGAATTTTACCCCTTTTTCGCACCTTAATGACTCATAGCTTTTTAAATGTCACATCTCAAAAACATTGTTTCTCCAGCATATAAAACAGAGAGAAGAAGCCCTGAATTTCGAAGTAAAACTAATAATAATTTAAAAATATTTCTTCTGTATTGGAGAATTCCCCTCTGCCTTGGTTTACTATTTATAAACCACCAGTCTGGGATTAATTATTATAAATCCTTAAAGCCGAAAAGAAGATTTTAGGTGTTTTATTCTACGTATAATCTACACCATTATTAAACTGCAGCTCAAATGCACTTTATGTCCTATTTCTGCTGGTCACCTTTTAACATTTATGCATTTTACCTATGGTAAATTTTACTCCCTGGGAGAAAGAATTTCTTAGTACTCTGAAAACATGGGACCACCCATCTGACGTGGCAGGGCTCAGTGGGAGCAGTGTCCCCTGCCAGCTCCAGGGACACTCACCAGGCACGCCGTCTCTCATCCAGTAAGAGATGTCTGTTCCATCTGCAGTGTCGTAAACATCTGTAACATTGATGGGCTGCAGCAGAGTCATGATCTCCCTCACGATGTCCCGGGCTTCAGCACTGCCAGAAAAACCCAGTCCAGATGGCTGGAAAGTGCCCTCATCAGACTCCATAACGATATCAAAGTTGGAGATATTTTCCTAAACATGTAAGAAAAGAAGGTATTATGCTGTGGTTGTTATTTTGGATGGCATCATATACTGGATTCTAGGTGTCATTGTGAGCATACCACAACAAATTTGTTGTCAGAAGCAGAGAAATGCTTCCTGTGAAAATGTGTACGCAAGCATAAATGAAGGGACCCATCTTTCTGTATGGAAATGGCTGAAACAGTTCAAATTATATTCTGATATAACATACCAATATTCTGTAGGACCCATAACATGACTGGTCTGCTGTTCCCAAATACTTGCTTTCAGATCTCTGAAGTGCCACCTAGAAAGGTAAGCCATCACCACCATATTGCAATTTTCATTTACAGCTCTCCCTTTCTTCGCAGACTTGAGGCTCTGAAATTCTGTTGCAGTGGAGAGGGTGTGAAGTCCTTTGGCTTTAAAATTAGAGGCATCCAAAGCCCTTCATAGACTGTGAGGAAGTCTGTTTAAAAGCCAGCTGCTGCCTGTTCAGAAACACATTATTTTCAATATAGCATATAGACAATTCTGATATCAATTGGAGGATTGAAATGCCAAGGTTTTCCCCCAGACCTGAAGAAATAATATTTTAAGGAAAATTTGTGCTTCCAAGGTAAATCCTCACAAGAAACATGAAAGGTAAGAACTTTGAACTTTGTGTACAAGTAGCATAATAACATTTGCTTTTAGTGTGTACTTGGAAGAATCTTTTAAGCTAAAAGAACAAATAATAGCAATTTATTTACTTACCATATTTGTTTAGATTGCTCAGTTACAAAGGCCTAATTCGAATTAAATACATACGGATTTTACATGACTGAAGATCTCATTAAAAAATGAGATCTGGGGAGGCACATAACTTTTAAAAAAGAGTTTATGGTCATGTCAGGCAGAAAACAAGCTATACTTCAGGCCTCCTTGAATGTGACTAAGAGAACCTACTGCAGGTTTTACTCCTATGCCCAGATCTCATGCCTGAATTTTATGGCTGCCATAGGTTATTTATTACAAGAAAATCATTGCAAGGGATATGTGATAGCAGCAGCTAACAGATCCATGTCACTACCAGCATATATAAGCCTACAATTCAGCAAATAATTATTTTACATTTTTTCTGTATCTAAACCAAAATATGTACTACAGGTGGCTGTGAATAATTCACATAAGTTTTCAGATGTCCTTTATAGAATTTGCCAAGAACTGTTTAAGACTTTTTTCTTTTGAGTGAAACAATTCTAACAGAGCAAAACTATTCACTTTTAACTTAGAAATATACCTAGTAGTTAAAAAAATTAATATAAAATCTTTGCATGATAAAGAAACTGTACATGTTATAATAGCTTAAGATAACCAATTTATCTACCCATTTAACTACTGGAAATCAATGTGCAAATAACCAATCTTGTCACCTTACTGGCAATCACCATTTTTAGACAGTGAAAAACAACTTCAGTTTGTGAAAGATTAAATGTAAATAATTAGGCTACATATGGTGTCTAGGCCTATCCTCAAATGCTGTCCTGAGGTAATGAGCTTCAACATGAATCATGATTTACAGACTGTCTGAGTATACTGGGAGAGAAGCAGGCCAAGAAAAGCACACTGCAGGCTGAAAGGGACCAGTGATGCTCCAATGCCATAGATATAATAAAAAGAATGTCTCAAAATGTAAATCTTCTTTATCATATGCCCAAGGAGGAAGCCCACATTTCAGTGTGCTTCTGAATTGCCAATGAAAGCTAACTTAAGTATAGTGAGCCCTACACAAATATGATGCTGTGGTACTCAGCTTCTTTGGTTGAGTTTCCAAAGCAGGACTTCTGTTCGTTTTTAGAGCAGCTGAAATGAGGAAAGCAGTAAGGCCAGGGGAAGGGCAGTGAAGTGAGGAGAAGAGTGAGCATGGGAACAACACGGACACCTAAAAGAAATCTCTCTTATCACTCAAAACAACCGAATGCCTAAGTTCAAGAATTTCATAAACTACTACTATTGCAGAATTGCTGTGCTCTTCAGTTGTGTTTTCTCACATGAATGTTTGCATGCGTTTCTAATATGAAACTGTAAACACACCACCCACAATACGTTACACCATATTGTTGTTCTGTAAGAAAGCTCTTCAGTTCTGAGAACGTGCTGGAGAGGCATGAAAACAGGATATCCTAGGGGGAGAAACTGACTTCACTGGGGAGCAAAAAAAAAACCGGTCACAGCTACTTGAAATACCACGTGTCCTTGAGAAAGCTTTTTCCATATCTGGTCCACTAGAAGATAGGACTACTTATAAAACTACTTACCATCAAATTTTAAAGTTGCAGTCTTAAAAAAGTTAGATTGGTTTCCCTGGTCCCATTTTTGTACATCTACATTGGCATTTCTACTTACACAGAGAGAAACATGCTGGAAAACATGCTTAAAATGTACTGCTTAAAATAGTGAAGATTCTTTGTCATCATTTGCCATCTATGATGCAGGCATAATTGCCACTAACAAAGTGAGGTGAGACCATACATTCCCCTTGACTAATTCAAAGGAACAAACAAACCGGAAAGATAAAAAAAAAATAATTGCAGACTCAGCTGCTTCCTTCAGTCATTCTCCTAGTGAATGTACCATCTAAATAAGCATTCTAAACTCAGCATGTAATTTTTTTTTCAGAAAGTAATGTCCTCTGCTGCATCTTGATATTGTGCCACTTCTCTTGGTATGCAATAGAAAATTAAAACTTCTCTGTGTAACCTGCTGCCTAATTCTCTGAACATTAAAAGAGACTTTTATCCTTTGCCTTCTTATGACTCTGTTGCAGAGGAGGTCATCTGTCTTTATTATGTCATCTTTAGCTCTTCAATTGAATTTTTAAATGAAACATTACAATAAATACTGCATGAGAAAATTGGCTTTCTATAGCTTGCTATTCTCATTGAATACACAATTAGGCACAATTCTTACCAATAGTTCTCCTATTTTAAGTTTTTAATTTAAATTCATTTTATTTCTGTTTTCTCTATAAACAATCTAATTTTTGTCTCTGCTAAGCAGAACTAAAAATATAGATACTCGTCATCTCTAAAGCAAAAACCTGATAACATGAAATCATGGAATCACAGAAGGGACAAGGTTAGAAGGGAGCACAGTGGATCATCTGGTCCAACCTCCCTGCTCAAGCAGGGCCATCCCAGAGCACATGGCACAGGATTGTGTCTGGATGGTTCTCGAATATCTCCAGTGAAGGAGACTCCACAGCCTCTTGGCAATCTGTTCCACTACACCTACACAAGTAAAGAAGTTCCTCCCCATGTTCAGGTGGAGTTTCCTGTGCATCAGTTTCTGCCCGTTGCCTCTTGTCCTCTTGCTTGGCACCACTGAGAAGAGCCTGGCTCCATCCTCTTGACACCCTCCCTTCAGATACAGAAATTTATGAGATCCTCTCTCAATTGTCTTCTCACCTTATCTTTTTTATCCTCTGTGTGCTCCAGGAGCTTCACATCTCTCTTGTACTGTGGAGCCCAGAACTGGATGCTGTGTTCCAGTTGTAGCCTCACCAGGTCTGAATAAAAGGGCAGGATCACCTCCCAAACCCTGCTGCCAGTGCTGATCCTACTGCACCCCAGGATATCTTTGCCCTTCTTAGAGCACACTGTTAGCTCATGGACAGCTTGCTGTCTATCAGGTAACTCAGGTCCTTCTCCATGAAGTGGTTTTCCAGCAGGTATTGGCCGCTCCTCCCAGCTTGGTGTTGTCAGGGAACTTGCTGAGGAGGCCTCTGCCCCTTCACCCAAGTTATTGGTGAAAAGTTAAACAATACTGGGACCAGTACTGATCCTTGGGGGACACCACCAGTGACAGGCCTCTAACTAGACCCCGTGCCACTGATTACTGTCCCACCCTCTGGGGTCAGTAATTTAGCCTGTAATTACAGTAAACTCCTTCCATTAAGAAAACAGACCCCTGTAATATATACAACTGGTACTTCTGTTGGTAGGAAACATCTTTCTTCTAGGCTAGCCACTGGCAATCCCAAGCAGGTATACCTTACACTAGTTACTTATTCAGTCACAATTCCAATTGTTAATTCTTACAAGATGTTAAAATAGACTGCAGTATCTCATGACTAATCCATTGAGTCATGGATGGCAATACCTCTTACTCAGCTTAAGCAGGAACACACCTGAAAGTTTATTGCAGGGAACAACTATCCTAAAAGCCTTCAGTACTTTGCGGCGTTTAAAACAGAGTATTACTTATCCAACAGCTCATTTACTGGTTTTCTTTTTTGTTCCACTGAGAAGAATCACCACTTTACAGGAAAAATACCTAGGTCTGTAATGACAAAGCACTTGACTAATGGTTCATTTGTTCCAGTGATAAAGGACATCGTTAATCTGACATTGTGTTTTCAGCTTTCTGTTATTGATTTACACTTAACTTTAAGAAACAACAACGCTTGTATTCCAGTATTTGTCCCAGAGCAGTCAGGAAACAAGTATAGCATGGCAACCATGTTGTAGAACTCACAGGGAAGTGGTAGTCATCCCACTTGCAGTACTAAAAAAAGGTTTAAACCAGCATTCAGATTTTTTAGGCTGGCAACTAAGACTACAGGAAAGACAAGGAAAAACACTGGAAACACCTAAGTGCATCTGACAGCTAGAAAAGAAAAAAAAAGCAAAATAAATAACATCCTCTAAATATTCAATCATATATAAAAACATGATGTAGTGTAACTTTGAGTTGCTGTTTAGTATGAAGGTAATTTAATGAAGCAAAACAGATAAATTGAAACTAGAGAAAAAATACCACAACAGCTGTTAGGAAGCAGAGACGCACCAGCATCAAGGCATAATAAACACCAGCCACAAGCATGATCGTATCATTTACACTCTTTTTGAATGAAAACAAGGAAAATCGGGAACACTGTGAGTTACTCATTTTTATAAATTATCCCATCATTTTATGGGAGAAAGCTGATGTAAAGCTGAAGATTTAGAAGCATAATTTTTCCTAGATGA